TGGTTTTATGTTTATATTCGATGCGTTTAGTGCAGATGGGAAAAAACGTTTTGGCGATGTAGGAGAAGAAACATCTGCAAATCTCGAATTCACACAAATGTAGACGATTTGACCGTGTTAAAACGAATCAATGAGCACTCTCATGACTCAGATGCCGCGGCAGTTGAAGCAGAAGTTGCTGTGACTAAAATTAAAATTCGATCCCAACAAACGCTAGAATCTACATCAATAGTATTGAACGAATGTACGACTGGACTTTCACAAGCAGCTAAAGTAAGTGATATAATATTTTTGAGTGAATTAAAAAATAAAAAATAAATATTATTGTAATATTTTTTAGGGTACGCTAACGTCCACCTGTGCATTAAAGAATTAATTTCTCTAATAATTCCAGAAGCGTACACAATTTATTCACCCTCTGAAGGTGTGAATGAGAAATTTTTACTCGATGATAGTGGGCCAGGTCTAGATAGAATTTTAAATTTTGGTAGATTAAGCAGTTTAGATATTTTAGAACGGTCAAAAATATGTTTTTGTGACGTAACAATTAAGATTGCACCTCCTCTTTTCGCGCAAGTTTACGTTATACTGGCTAAAGATATTGGAGGTGTACACCCTCTTATCTATGCACTTTTACCAAATAAACAATCTAAGACATACCAACAACTTTTTCATAGATTACAACAATTAAAACTCAATTTATGTCCTGATTTTATATCGTGTGATTTGGAAAATGCTGCTATAATATCTATGAAAGAATCTTTTCCAAACGCTCAAATTAATGGATATTTGTATCATCTGACGAAAAATTTCCGATTAAAAATGTGTAGTTTAGGTTTGATTTCAAATTATAATAGTAATGCAGATTTTGCTCTCTCCGTTAAAATGATAACTGCATTAGCTTTAGTGAAAATTGAAGACATTGATAAAGCCGTAGACGAGCTAGCTGAATATTTACCAGACGAGTTACACGATCTTTTAAATTGGTTTGAGGATAACTACATTGGGCCGCAAAAATAGATCAAAAAATGGACGTAGACCAGCACTTTTCCCCCGGCATTATGGAATGTACACGATCGAGTAATCGTTGGTCAAGATCGTACAAATAATTATGCCGAAGCTGCCAACCGGAGGTAATTAAAAATAATTAAAAATTAATTACAATCACAAAAATATATTTTTAATCATAATATTCTTTAGATTAAATACTGAAATGAGTGTCAGCCATCCAACATTGTGGTCGTTTATTTCAAGTCTACGTAAAATCCAATCTGGCCGTGATACATACTATGCACAGTTGGAAGCGGGGAGAAGTCCACCAAAAAAATAAAAAAAATATTTAGACGTCGATAAAAGATTAATTAAAATTGTGAGGAACTATAGTAACCTTAGTTTAATATTATTTTTGCGAGGAATTTCTCTGAATATATCTTTGAAATGATCTTTTTACCATAATTAAATATTGACGTATTTTATGCAGGTATCTTATAATGCTTAAAATTATTTATTTTTTATTTATTATTATTATCATTATTACTATCATAAATTATTGACGAAAATGAAATATTTTTACTGTTATTGAATATTGAAAAATGTGTATTGTATTGTGTATTTATAAAATTATTGTTATTAATGTTAAATGTAAATACTTATAATAATGATTAACAATACAATTAATTACTATAGTATAATATTTACAAGAGTATGCTTTGTTACGAGTTAATTTTTTTTAACGGCGAAGAGGCTAGCAAATAACACACTACAGACTACACTGTCCACTAAAAAATATCTGTAGGCTGTTATTTTATTATTATCTTAATTCTACCTATTTTCATTTATCGCTAAACGCGTTTATAAGCAATGATAAACACAAACTCTGCAGCACATCTAAACCTTTAGATATCGGAACACACTAACACAGTAAACTATTTAGACGTCGATAAAAGATTATTAGGTATTATTAAATATTATTGACGAAAAATAAATATTTTTTATTATTATTAAAGAAAATGTGTATAGTAAATAATAATAAGTAAAATGCTCAAAATTTTGTTTAACGGCGAAGTGGCCTCACGTCGAAACTGCGAAGGCAAAATGGTTTTACGGCGAAACGGCGACGGCGATTTGTCCTAGATCGGTCTCCGGTCGCCAAACTTGAGTGACTCCACGTGGCTGCGAAATAGTGTGGCGCTCATGCGTATACAAACGTTAAATCGCAAACTTTGGAAGGCTATAACTTCCAAAATAATGGTTTCCGCAAAAAATTTCAAACAGTTTCGAAATCAGCGTTGAAAAACACATATTTTTTAAATAGAAATTCGAAATTTAAGAGGGGAGTGGCAATATGCATTATAGCCTTAAATATCTTATACAATACTTGGATACGCTGTTTTGTAAAACATATCAAGACTATATCAAAAATATTAAAATGTATTATACACACTATATTCATTACTTGACAAACACTTTATGTAACTTTTATAATTTTATAAATTTAAAGTTCAAGGTACAACAGCGATTCACTCGTCATAAATATATTAGATACGTTTTTTTTACCATAATTTATAAAAGATACAATACTTCGATATCTTATAAATTCTTTGATTGTGATTAATAATTTAAGATTTCATGTCTTAATTATCGCCATTGTGCATTACACATTTCGGTAACCACGTCATTTCGTGTACAAACTGCGGTGCGTTAAAAAATTCAAATTTAGAAATAGTCAATATGGAAAATGAAGATAAGTTTATTACTTCAGTGAAAAGAAAACCACTGGAATTACTTAATCTCCATAAATATCGGCTTACGGCTAAAACAATTTATCTGTGAATGTATTTATGGTTTAAATGGATACAAATCTGTAAATCAACACAACTGAAAACTGTTATCATTGTTATACATAACATAGTTACATCTCTTTTAGTCTTTTCTCTCTTGTTTGAGAGCTACCTCTCCTTCGATTCATTTTACTTTTGCAAATACACCAGAGATCTGAAGCAACGCTCTTAATCCCTTCCTCTGTACACCTTTCTAGCGAAGAATCAGGCAGCCGATTAAGCTCGGGGATTCTACTTTATAATTTTTTTTCCTGAGTTTTCAAGCACCTATCGGCCTCTCAACCAATGTTAATACTTAAAACTTACTCATATAATCTCCCCTCCGACTCCTCTTTCTCATGTGACGATGTACTATCAGTTCTTCAATCACTAAAAACAGCTTTTCCAATGGGCCCAATAACATCTCTGTCAGTTTAGATACTTTACAACAACTGCCTAAACTCCCTGGCATTTCCTCTATTAATCCTCTTAAAAGGAATCTTTACCATTGTCAAAAAAAAAAAGTGCTTGATTGCCCCTATACTAACATTTTGTAACCCTTCTAATGTGTCCAACTATAGGCACATCTTCCACATTAAAAGACACTCATTACTTATTTTTAGTTATTAGGTAAGAATTAGTTGAATAATAATATAAAATACCTATTTGTGATGATCATGATTTGTATCATTATATTTTGTGTGATGTACAATGTTTTTTACATTTTTTTTATAACTATTATTATGAACTACCTACATATTAAATTAAAATTCATCGTGTACTATATTTTATTGTATTTTATACACCTTCATTTCTTAATTAATATCATATTATTATACTAAGAAATAATTATTGTATTATGAATTATGATAACTATTTAGTGTAAAAAACAAATTAAAATACTAGAAAAAAGGTGTAGATACTAAAATTAATTTCACACATCAATTATTTTTTTAAATAAATTAAAATGTAAGATTATTTATAATAATATAACTACTATTTACTTAACTTTAGGTATGTAAATATGTAATTAATAAATTCCTATGAAATACAACAAATAAGTAATTCTATAGTATTAAGAATTACAAGTTATAGGTCGATTACATAGGTCACTTAAAAATGTATAGACTACTACTGTTTATGCATATTTTTACTCAACAATATTATGAAGAAAACCTAAATGTATTAAAATAACTTATGATTTGAGAAATAAAAATTAATAAAAATCAGAAATCAAAAAAAAATAGGTATAATTTTAAGATCAATATTATAGCCTATTGGTTTGTTATTACATAAAAATTAGTCATCATATTATAGGTACCTAATTATTATTATAATATATATATTATATATTTGTTAATGAGTGTTGCTTCAGTACAGACCATAACGTTTCAGTTATGTCCCTCAAAAATATAATAAAATTAAATTTTTGAATTACTTAATAGTATAATATTGATTATTATTAATTATTGTTTGACAATACATACATTTATATTCATAATTTGAAATATACCAAATCTGAAGTGTCCCAGATATTATGTAAGTAGGTACAAGGTACCAATTATAAAATATATACTTGGTACTATGTTTGTTAATTGTTTTTTATTTCATTAAATATTAAATTACAATATAATAAATTAAACAATAACCCTTAACAGTTGACATTATGAAGTATCCAAAATATGTAAATTAAATATTCATAAACATTTTACAATTCCAAAAATGTGTAGTAATGAATTAAATAATAAATTAAAGTATAATTAGACAATAAAATGTGTATAAAAACGAATTGGCAGTTGATTATTGTAGACCGTCTAACAATCTTGTATTTATATCATCATAATATCACTCCCAAGTGTTATGTCCGATTATAACTAATGTAGTGGACCATTTGATGGTGTAGATCAGTAGTTCTCAACCTTTTTTGATTCATGTCACCTTTAGCCACTAGAATCAAACATCGCGTCATCCTAACTGTGTAATGTAAAAAAAAAAAAACCTAACATCAAAATAATAAATAATCTTAGCTGTATATATTAAAATTATTCTTTTATTAAAAAAAAAATACAGTACAGAAAAAAAGCATGTTCAAAACGTTGACACTTTAAATTTAAAGAGTTAAACTTTAAATTAGCAAATAAAAAAATTAAAGTTAAAAAGAAAATAATGATTTATATAAATTTAATGTGAAATTTGACCCTGGTGTTTTTTACAAAGTTGGGGAATCCTAAGTTTGATGGTGGAAAGAGCGAGTCTCATATCGTCTTCTATAGTTGTTTTTGTGAGTCTGTTGCGTTTTTTTGTTTTTATATTTGTTAGTGCACTAAAGCCATGCTCACATAACCAAGACGTAGAAAACTGAAGGAGCACTTTAATAGTCTTTTTCGATAATCTAGGGTATTCATTGTTAAGAGCCACCCAAAAGCTGTCTAGCGTGACCTCATTAAACTTAACTAGAAGCGTTCGGTCGTTCTTCAATTCCACTGCTTCCTGTTGTACCTCACAGTGATCTGTTTGTATCATGGTAGTAAAAGGGTTCCGAATCCAGTCGTAGTGTTCAACGGTTAAGTCTGGAAAATAATGTTTCATAGACATATTTTGTAAAGTCTGTAAGTGACTTCGTATGATTTTTAGAACGGTAGGACTGGAGTTTTCCTGGCTCGTAAACAGTGGAAACATAGTTGTATTCCCTTTATGCAAGTTTGCACACCACACTGACATTTTTTCTTGAAAGGCTGAAATTTTGTCGGTGGAAGTTAAAATATTTTCTGATGGTCCTTGCAAACTAGAATTAACCTGGTTAAGATATTGAAAAATATCAGCCAAGTATGCGAATTTTTATATCCAGTCGTGGTCTTCCAAATAACATGTAAATTCATTGTTCTCCTCTTCCATGAAAAACAGCAAAAGTTCCTCTTTCAATTCATAGAGACGTAACAGAACCTTTCCTCTGGATAACCACCTCACTTCGGTATGGTACAACAAATTTGTGAAATCAGCATCCATTGATTTACAAATTTCGGAAAAAATTGTACTTTTTAGGGGCTTTCCTTTAATGTAGTTGACCATACGAACGAAATTACTCAGAACGGAATTGAGTTCACTACCCAACGTTTTTGTCATCAGCACTTCTCTGTGGATGAAACAGTGGGTCTTAACGATTAATGGATTTTTTATTTTAGCCAGTGTAACAAATTCCTTGATACTCCCAGTCATACTTAGAGCTCTGTCTGTGCAAATTCCAACACAGTCACTCCACGATATTCCATTATTTTCAAAAAAATAATCGATTGTGTTGAAAATGTCTTTACCTCTAGTATTTTTTTAAAACTCTTTCAGACACAAAAACTGGCTTACAATAGCATTATTGTCGACAAAACGAACGAATCCTATCATGTAGCATTTTTCGTCGCTACTAGTTGAGTCATTGACTTGAAGCGTGAACCGAGGGTTTTTCATCTTTTCTATAACGAGCTCTTTAATATCTGTCGGCAGATGCGACGAGAAACAGTATCATTTGACATAGGTATCTTATCGATTTCAAGAGCCGCTTCATTTCCAATCATTATTCGCACCATTTCCTTACAAACTGGTTTAATTAGTTTTTCTCCAATAGTATGCCCTTTCATGTTGTTGGCGATCATTTGTGAAACAACAAAACTTGCTTCGAGAGCCCTCTCGGACACTTTGATCTTTTTTGTAAATTTGGTTGCTTCTTTTTTTTGATCACTGAGAAGTTTTCTGAAATAATGAACGTCTTTATTCTTCAAGTGAGAATGTTGTTTAATAAAATGGCGTTTCAATTTGCTGGGCACCATCGATTCGTTGGTCAACATTTTCCCACATACAATACACTTGGGAATAGGTTCATCTTTTGGACCACACCATGTAAAACCTATATCCATATATGATTCATTGTAATACCGACACTTACCTCCGCTCTGTTTTAACTTCTCAGTAGTTAATGATAATGTAGTGTCACTGATTTCCGTATTCTCATCATTATCATATTTTCTTTTCCGATTAATAAATCTATCCATGCTACAGTAAAATTATTATTTTTATTATTATATTATATTATATTATATGCATACTATAATTTGCTAATAATAATGCTCATAATTTTTTAAAAATTAGTTCTTACTTGTAGACTTGTAGGTAATTGTACTTGCCAGCTAACGAATACGAAAAAATACTAACGTTAAAATGTTATTATTAATAAGTAATAACAAAATGTAAAATACACAACGAGCGATAACATTGCACAGCGACTGTAGAATACTGACTAATGGCCGGTTAATGTTGAGTCGTTAAGGGCCGATTTCACCAACACAGTTAATCACGATTAAAGTTAACCACGGAGTTAATCGGCCGAATTTGGCCGGTTAAATATCTGTTATCAGCCGATTAAGCGTTAACCGTGATTAACTGTGTTGGTGAAATCGGCCCTAAGACGTATGTAGCGGTATCGCAGCGTTATCGCACGACAAATTACTTATTACTAGGTACACGTGTTTATCGGATCAAAAGATTAAATATAAATAATACAAACTATTATAAAGAAACGAACTTTTAGGTATGTTATGTACATGACAGTGGTGATATAGGTGTATAATATATTTATTGTAATAAATAATATGATTGTTTTCGAAATTTTATTATTATTATTATTATTATAATTTTACTATTATCGAAAAATTTATTTTTTAAATTTTTTCTTTTCTTGTTAAAATTCTGCGTCACCCCTAAGCTAGGTCCATGTCACCCCGGCTGAAAACTACTGGACTGTAGATGGACATATTGGAAGGCTAAATGCAATTATTCCTCATAAATTGTTATGTTTACATTTACTAATTAATAAATGTGTTGGTATATTATCTAAAAATACTGATATTTCATAATTGTTTTTATTTATTGGATTAGAAAGTTCACCTACATTTTCAATTATTAAATGCTGTATTAAAATAATCTGTTTTGAATCTGTTTTGTAGTTGTGTTCAGATTGCAGTTGGTGCAGTATAATTGTTGAGGTACCGATAATTCCTAACATTTTCCAGAAAATCAAAATATTGACTATTGGTTGGTAAGTTTGTCATTCATGTTGAAGAATGTTTGGTGTAGATTGTACTGCAACTCCAGCTAGATGTTTGATATGTAGTTCTTGTGAAGGACAATTTTGAAAAAGTTTCGTAATTATTAAATTTTATGTCGAAGCACAGTTTAGAGTCGTTAAATTGTCTGTCAGCCCCTTCGTTTGATTTTCATAAATATATCTTAGTATATTTCCTCATTGTTTAAATGTTTGTACGTTGATTCCATCTCTCAGTGCTCGGGAAATGGATTTAAAAAAAACTTCATCACTCATTAGCATATGTGGTGCACGATAATTGAAATATTGAATCAAATGAACAAGTGTTCAAGAGAGTATAATAAATATCATTCAATATAACTGGTAAAAGATCTGAAAAGTTCAATTTCACAATAGTCCAATAATTGTACTTTTGGTTTTACTGTTTTCATTGCAATAGAGTATGGTTTGATCTTTGAGTAGAAACGAGCACTAACGAAGTCAAAAACAGCGGGACTGATTTGAATCAACAATTCGTTATGGTGAGGTGTAGGCATGTTTTTACAACCCCTCCATTGAGTCTAAGAATAACTCCGGAAGTAATAGAGTAAAAATTCCAGGAATTTGGAGGTGGGAGTGCAGTCGTTTCACTCTCACTCCCACTGCAAATCCTTTGTAACTCCTGAAGGATTGCAGCACAAACATAGCTCAAACGAAAACCATTGGTTTGAAACCGAAATTCGGAAATGGGGGTGTGCCAGTTGAATGCACCTATCTCAACTCTCTAAATGATTGTTTATCTTTTATTAATGTGTTCTCTTATTCACCGATGATATAAAACTAGATATACCTCAAAATAAACTCTCCCTCTCACTGTCATCTCTTACAATCTTCTCTTGAAACCTTCTCGGATTGGGAAAGATCTACTCGTATTAACACAACCCTTAACATCGAAAAATGTCACGTAATGTCCTTCTCGAGAAGTACCTTACCTCTCCAAAACTCATGTTACCATAATGGTTCTTTTCTTGATCGTGTATTTATTATTTAATATCTAGGTATCTATCTCACACCCACTCTCTTTCTACTACCACATCAGTATTACAATCGGTAGATAATTCAAAATATTGGTATTTGTTAAACGTAATACACTAGTACCATCAATTTCTCATCTAGCTTCTGTCTCCGTATACTTCATGTCTCCTTAGTCCGTTCCATTCAAGAATATTGAGTAGTGATAAGACATCCTTGCCTGGCGTGTGACGAACTAACAATAGAGCGAGTACAAAACAGAGTTCTATCTAATGCTGGCTACAAATTTAAAATCAAAATTCTTATCCACTACTACTCACTTATTTGCTCCACTCTTTGTATCCTTACATTACTATCTACAACAGCCGTTATCTTTATTTCATTTCTTCTTTCACTTCTCAAGGGATCTCTTTGTTTCCTCCGTTTGCTTTCTTCTGTCTCATTCCGTGTTCCTACCCACTTTACTAGAAACCGTTCTCTTTTGATGCCAATGACTTTTTTGGTTGAACCACCCACTGAACAAAATTCTCAATTCAGCTTAGCCTAAGTCACTTTTTCGACAATCAATGTTTTTAGTTAATGTTATATTAAGTTAAAAAATCTTATTACCGTTTTTAAATTGATGCCTGTTATGGAGTAAACAAATAAAATAAACAATTAAATAATTCTCAAATTTAATAGAATTGCGGAAAATTGGAATAATAACCGTCACCGACAACCTTATATGAAAATATGTTAGAAGTTATCTATCTAGATCGACATAAAATAATTAATTCATTTAATACATATTAAAATAGAATTTGATATTGATAATAATCTGCATTAAAAAAGTATGTAATTTTTAAGCGATTTTACGATTAACCGGTAGACAGCATGTATGATAACATGCAACCCATGCTTCATATTTCGTTAGGAAGTGTATATCTTTAATCTTACTGCGAGGCAGTTTTACTACGTAGTGCAGCACTAGATTATTGTGAGAGTTATATCTTGTGCGATGTAAATATAGCTCTGACAGTAATATTAGTTGACAATACATTTTTGGGAAGAAAAAAGTAATTTTATGAAAAAATATTGACTTACCTTTAAACTGATCGGTGTCCTTTTCATCCAACAGATATATCTTAATTTGTTTTAAAATATATTTGAGTGATTAGGATAAGGTAGCGCGATTATTTAGATTACACGACTACAATATAATTATTTATACATTTTTAAATGAAAATCGGTTTAAACCTAATTGGTTTCAATATCGAAGAATATCTACTTGTATACCTGATTCATCCGTGAGTAGAATTATTTACCATTCGTCTTTAAGCAATTATTCACAAAATAAAATATTGTAGCGGGCCCCGTTGATGGAAAGGATGACTCAGAATTGTTATTAAGTTGTAGAATAAGTATAGTGTTTATTTGCTCAGAATATGTGTATAAATGATATTTAATTTAAACTGCAGAAATTCTGAAATTATTAAAATATATGTCATAGAAGACCCGATAAACACAATATTTCCATGTTCAAAAAATACGATTAATTCGGTATCTAAAATTTCAAATATCCTGAAAAGTCAACTGGTGGTAAGGTTCTTCCTATAGGTCTGGTAAATTATTATACCTGAATATGGGCCGTTTAGGACCAAAATAAATTAGTCCTCCTCCCCCCTCCCACTCATAAGTTAAAATTCTTAATAGTTCATCGAGTTCTCACGATTCATGGCTTCTGCGCGATAACCCACAGATGTTGAGTTCCAACCCAGTTACCCCGTAATAGTGTGTCAAATTCATATTATACGTAATACATTATTCATATTATAACTCTTTAAATACATCGTTACATCGTTGTCCAACGGTGTTTCATTGTTTATGAGACGTTTATAAATGAGTAACATTTCGAATTGGTCATTAACCCCCTTTTTATCCGTACATTAATTCTTATGTTATAACTCATTTCCCTCGCTTTCTTGAAAAAGAGTTGTTTGTTCGGGGTTGATACATTTTATAATCGGCATGACCTATTAACCCTGCGACAGCGTTTGTATCAGAAGTATTGGAATTGTTATTTAGCTTCCCTGGCCTTCCTAAAGTTAATGGCTATTATAAGTTACCTGTATTGTGTGAGAGCATGTAGCAATATGTACTCATTATTATATCTGAGGGACAACTGATATTCGAAATAATACTTTATACTTTCTTTTCATGTTAAATTTTTTCTTTATTTAAAATTAGTTCACAACAATTCCACCAATTATTCTCTTATTTTATCAAGATAGCCGGTAGGTAATATTAGTATTATGGTTGTTAAATATGCATTACTGTGTATGATTTATTTCAAATAAAATAACTATAATTTTAATTGTCATGTTTCGTTTTTGAAAAACAACAATTTATTCAACCGTAAATAAACTGCAAAATATTATCTTCAATAAAATTAATTAGAAAAGTTCCATTTAACTTAATATTTATTAAATCAGTTAAGAAATTGTATATATAATTAACATATACATAAACTATTTATTTTATTACTTAACACATAAGTTTACCGATGATGTGTCAAACAGTTATGTGAATACAGCAGTGTTAAGCTTTGAGATATTTTTTTCATGTACTTATACTTTGAAATATATTCTGAACCTTAATAGAATCAGTATCAAAGGATCATTGACATTCCACTCCCTCTTCCAGAATAAGATTTTTATTATTCATTTACATATATAGAGAACACCAAGAAGACAAAAAACAAAAATATAATTTATAAATACCAAAAGTTAGTTCTTTATTTTTGTGATCCTTTCCTGGAAAAACAATAACTGTGGTACAGATGAAAAAAAAACTAAGAACATAAAAACCCTAATATTAAATTAAACATAATAGTAATCAACCGTAATATTAATTATACAGACTTAAGAAATATCAAAATATAAAATTACAATCCATTTTTTTTTTATACAAAAATATTTTCATGAAAAACCTTTTAATATAAATACAACACATTAAAATTATTTATATATATAAGTAATGGAAGGCTTAGATTCGACGCTGCCTGTTGATCAGCATTCTTTCACAGTCATTTATATGACTTTCATACCAGTCACGTCGCTAAAAGAAGAAAAAGACACCAATAATATTATATAACAACTGTACAGTTACTTAACAAATATATTCAAAATATATTCTTACTTGGCAGTTATGGGAACAGTATTTCACCGTTGTACAGCTACTGCACATTATTGTTGCAGGGATGTTACAATTACTTGCGTAGCACTGAAAAACAACAAAAATGTTTTAAAAAAAAATTTAAATTGCTATCATTTATAAACTTAGGTGCCTCTAAATTAAAATTCAAAATAGTAGTTTCTTAGGTATTAAAATGTATAAGTCAAGAATAATAGTTGATAAAAATATGATTTTACAAAATACAATAAGCATGAAATGTATAATCTAAAACTGACTACACTTACACAATTTTTACAAATAATAAAATGATAATAGATTAATATTAATTACAATACTTTTTATATCATTATAGCCCCCAAATCTTTCAAACCAATATCATGTACCTAATATTCATAGTAGACAAAGTTCTCATTTTTGGAAAAATAGCTAATCAAATCGTTAAGATAGTTGCTGACAAATCATTCGTAAGTCATCAATTTAAATAATTCGGTTAGTAAGTTGACCATTTAAAAATCAATTTTTTTGGTTTTTAGGCAGTCAAGACTGTCACAATTTGCTACTTGAAAAATAAAGAGCGCAATTGAAAGTATGTTACTAGTACTTGTAAAAAGAGTTTTCAAAACCACAAACATAAAATGAAACAATAAATTAGTATAGCACTTTACAGGTTATATAGATATATTAAAAATTTTGAACTTGTATTAGACACAGTTTTAAAAAAATTACCTTTTCACAATCTAATATTATGTTATAAAAATAAATCTTATTTAGAATTTGTAAAAAATGATATACAGATGAATTTTACTTACTTTGATACTGGGTGGCGGTGATCTAACAAATATATTAGAACCATTGACGACTGCTCTCATTTGACCTGTTGGCCCCTTAACCAATTGATACTGTTTATTACCAAGTAAAATAGTGCTGCCTTCAGTTCTATGAAGAGGACCGTTTTTATTCAGAATTGGCGGTTTGAAAGTCACATATGTTGTTGTTGGTGGTGTTGGTGTTGATTTTGCAGTTTCTGGTGATGTCGCTGTTACTTGAATCATAGGACTATTGGTAATAGTTGAAGTAACAACAAAACATTTTTTTGTTGGTATCACTTTAGAAGTAGGAGATTCAGAGGTTCTTTTTTGTAGTGAAGAAGAGAATGATTCATAGAAGTTATTTATTGGCTGGCTTGTTACAATTGATGGTTCTGCTGCGGTATTACCAATTATTTGGGACTTATTAGTACTTAGCAGAGGTATTTGTCTAAAAATAAAATAACAGGACTAATTAATACTGGAATTTTAATTTCAAATACAATAAATATGTTAAATATATAATTAAATATGTACAATGGGGAATTGAGGAATACTTATACTAGTAAAAGGAAGTATGCATTTTGAATTTAAATTCATTAAAGTATTAATAGTTGCTAATTTTAAAAACCAGAGATTTAATTAACAATTATAACAACTATTTAAACTTCTACAACTTAATTAAAATGTATCAAACTATTACAGATGTAATGAGAGTTCCTATAAGTTTATACTTATAATATAACTTAGACACTTTGATTGATACTTAAACAAGTACTATAAAAATGGAAAGACTGTAAATCTATAATAGGTACTATATAATAAAATATTTATTAAATAATAATACTGCTGTATTATCATTTGTCAGAAATAAATAAATCAATTAATCGTAATTAACATATTATGCAGTTAAAGGTGAACAAATCTTAGAAAACTAAAAACCAGGGAAGTCATGGACCTGTATAGTAGATGTTAAATTTGAATCCAATGATAAAACATTACATAACAGAAGCAATTCTAAGCAGAGATGGTCTGTCAGCTTAACTTAATTTAAAGGATACTTTATTACATAATTATATTGTTATTATTTATTTATTTATCAATTAAATATGCAGTAGGTGAAATCATTTTGCCAAAAACAAATCAGATAATATATTAAATTATTATTATTATTTCTAGATGCTTTTGAAACTAATGTGAATTTTCAATTTTGATACATCAAAAATACCAACTACATCAACTTTCTACCAGAAACCACTCACAAAGCTTAAAATCAAAACAAATCTGTGTAGGCAGATAAACACAAAAAATAAAAAAATACATCCGTGTAAAATTATTGCTCCACTCAGAATCTAAAATTAAAAATCGTTTACATTTTTTATTACAAAAAAATTTCTAAGTTGTTTTGATTTAGGATAACTTTGTCAAAATTCTAACTTTAAACATTCATAAAATGTTGTTGTTTTACACTGCACTGTGTACATGAATTCAAGATAAATCCTTGCAAAGCAAAACTATAGATCTAGTTTCTATTTTAAAATCAGGTTTTCGTTGGTTTTTGCTTTTAGGTAGAAAACCAATTTTACTTTGGGAGGCAGCACATGCAGCGGTTACAATTAGTATTTCAAGAAAACAACATTTTAACAAAATACAAGGCAAACAAACAAGTGTGCAAATCAGCATCCAGCCTTTGTAATCCTGTCAAAGAACATAATTATGCAAAACATAATCATAATAAAATAATAGTACTATCCTAATAATGGTCATTGCCTGCTATTGTAAGAAAATTATAATGAGTTCTAGGCAATAATATAATATTCTTACTAATAGATACTGTCATAATATCCTAGAATCCATTAGTTATAACTTATAACACCTATATGTCTGGTAATATTTATTAAATATATACAGATACTACAGTTACAATCCAGGTTTTTTTTTGAATGGAGGGGAGGGGGAGGATGAGAATATAAGCAAAAACAGTGTAGATACAAAACATCTTTCAGGGGTCTAAACATACTAAAATTGTGTCTAAATCAAATATTTTAAGGCATCTAAATGATCTATTATAACAGCAATCAAAAAAAACTTACTGGTAAGTTCCATCTGGATTTTTGGCTAGGAACCAGTGTTGAATTGGTTCAGCGGAGTTTATGTTACTTTGTGTAACTGGTATTTTGACATTTGAATGCAGTATAGTTTGTGAATCGACTGGATCTTTGAACTTCGAATTTATGCAACATTGAAACGTCGCATTATCAATTAATAATGAAAGGTCTTCATTTGAATCACTGGTGACGGCATCAATAACTGCTTGAAAATATTCTCGGCTGTTGACTGTTGACACAAAAAACAATGACATACGATCGGTGACTCCGGGATCAATGTCCCGACTATCTTCAATTAGACTTATTAAATCGATGCAGTCAGGTCGAAATGTTTTTGACCGAAACATCGCAAAAATTTTAGGATGATTATATTCACTGTTTTTTAAACTATTCCATAGTAAAAGTACCAAATTTTTGAAGATGCTACCTTTTCTGAACTTTGGTTGATCCAAAACTCGAAGTACAGTTAGTATACTTAAGAAGAACATTTGGAAAGCAGAGTCAAATTCCAACTCTTCAAAAGATGACACAACGTTTATAAAATTGTTCTTTAGCTTTGTTTCTAAAATTTTTTTATGTCTCCCGTGTAATCGGTTGGCATCACATCTTTCCTTAAGTTTTTCGGCCTCCGACCTTTTCTTAAAAGATTCATCCATTCGTGCTTTGTGATGTTTGTTTGACATGGAAATTATATTCAGTATATTTGCAATAATCACAATAGTATCTTGTACAGACTTGCTAAAATACTTTTTATAAAGTTTTTCAATTTCAATCAAATTTCCTTTTACATGGTTTTTGCCATTTAAAGGGTGTTTTATTCCATTGACTTTGGTAGAATTTGAAGATGATGGTCCGCTAGACCCGCTTGTAGAGGGTTTAGCCACTGCTAACTTTGTCATGCAATTTGTTTGTTTGGGTTGTGATCCATAATTTAATGTTTTCATCCATCTACGGTAGTTTTCTGGTGTCATCATTTTCTTAGGATTCACGATCGTAATCATTGGGTAAACTTTTTTAGCTGTAGCCTCTGCAGATTCAGTGGATTCTTCGCAATCGATTACAATGGGCATCTCCTCAGTACATGTAGAAGCAATTTCTTTATTGGGTTTTAATGAAGACTTAAATTGTGATTTAAATTTGTCGGTTTCACCCTCTCGAGATAACACTAATTTCAAAACATCTACTCCACTTACATCCAACTTCTGTTTTTTTCTAGCAGGCTCCTCGTCTACAGATGTATTTCTGTCTTTAGATGTTTTAGTATCTTTGGAAGTTTTAACGACTTTAGACTTTTTATTGCCTTTAGATGTTTTATCACCTTTAGATGTTTTATCACCTTTAGATGTTTTATCGTCTTTAGCAGTATTATTGTCTTTAGCAGTATTATTGTCTTCAGCTGTATTATTGTCTTTAGCTGTATTATTGTCTTTAGCTGTATTATTATCTTTTGCTGTATTATTATCTTTAGCTGTATTATTGTCTTTAAATGTATTTTCATCTTTCTTGTGTATAGTATTTACCTTGTTTTTAATTAAGCTCCTAAAATTAATTAAAATTATTAACATAAATAAGTATTTCTGAGATAAATGTCACATTATGATTTGTAACATTCATGTATTCAAAAACGTAGAATTTATTTAATCATAGATTTTAGAAGAGTTCTATACAATTATTTATTTTAAGTATAAATTACACATAAATATAACTCATCAATGATGAAAAACGCTTAAGAGATTAGTTGAAAGGCTATAATGTAGTGCGCAGTCTACCCGTTCTGCTTTTTAAGATACAGTTGAATTGAAATGATTATTGTTCGTTTCGACAATAAGCAACCGCCATGTTTAAAATGGGATCTCTCAAATAGGATATTCCCATGAATATAATGACTGGGTTCATCATTATTTTATCAAAATGATAAATTAAAAAACGCTTTTAGTTTTTAAAATTTTGGTTTGGAATAAAATAATAAAATACGCTACTAAAATGTTAGAATTAAAAAGTTTAGCTTTGGTTTAGTTCATACTCGAATTTCAATATTTGTATCACTAGTACCTACTCATATGTAAATATAAAAATAAACTTACAATCTACAATTTGCTATGTCTTCAGGAGTGAGTTTCATCAAAACAACCTCACATTTGTCATAAATGATGTTTTTATACACGCTATCGACATACTTTTTGGTATACGTATTCATTCTGGTTCTGAAAAAAAAACATTTATCAGCATGAGATTAGATAATGTTCACGTTAAACTTATATAATATATTAAAATAATAATCATTTGTATTAAAAGACAGTTTTTGGTTATTTGTTAAATAACAAGTTGTTAACTTACTATTTCAAACCTATAAAAAAAAAGATGTTTCAATATTGAACATTAAATATCAATAATTGGAGTATTATTTATAAACTATTAATATTCTTCAATTGACTATATTGTATCATTCCACAATACTACTTAAGGGATGTTAGTTTTAATAAGAATCATAACAGTTGCGTCATCATCAGGAATCGTGCTTTCGTCGTTGAAATACCTAATTATTTGAACTACAAACTGTAGCTCTTACTTTGGTTATTTAATAGTTAAACCAAGTAATTTTAAAAATATAAAAGTATTTTCATTAGAGTCGACCAACCAAAAATGGTACAATAAGACAGAAGGGCATTCGTTTAGCAGGATCTACTGCAGTAGAGTGATCTGCGAATTTATGACGATCTACGTACAAATTAAAAAAATAATTTTTTAATAGTATAAAAACACATAATATTTTTTAAAACGAGCACCTACGTCATAATATTATCATACAAATATTCATCAAATATAAAAAAGAAAAACTAATTCACCAAATATAATACAAATTTCAATTACAGTAAATGCATTTTTAATATCATTTAAAAATTTTAAAAAAGTATCTTGAACATAAATTGATCTCCACCATGCTTCAATCAGATGACGATGTAATAGTTCTTTTGTAGGGCCATGCATTTTTCGAGACCATCATAAACAGACGTATGTGTTAGATACAACAAGCTACGACCACCCAATTATGATTTTTCCCGACAATTTTACGTTTATAAAAATAAAAGTAATACAAAATATGCCCAATATACTAAAAATTGCTTTTCTTAAAATATGACGAAATATTATGCAAAAATATGCAAATTCAAACTTAGTAATGAATTTCGCCATTTCATAAAAAAAAATATATCTCACCTGGAATAATATAATATAATAATAGGCGGTAATAATAATCGTAGATCACTAACTACACCTAGTATAATACGATAGATCACCCGATACACCCAAAACGAGGTAGTAGATCCCCTGCTACACGAATGCCGACAAAAGTAGTGAAAATTAAACAGGTAAAATGGTTTTAAAATATTTAGGTTACTAACGACTAACAGGTCCAAGAACCACCGGCCTAATATATATATATAATCCGTTATTTCAACTAACTACTTAGTTAATCGTTTTGATTACATTGTATTATAATGTAAATATATTGCAATTGTAATATACATCTAGCTATATAAATGTGAAATGAAAATCTCTAAACTACTTTTCAGATCTTCTAGATTTTTTTAAAACGAAACAATATATCAAGAAGATCAAAAACGACCTTACGAAATGCAGTTGTATAATTTGTTATTATTGGGTGTAATGTGATGTTCTTCTGCATCCAAAACTACGGTCTTGAAAACCCCCTACTTTCTGGCCTTAAACTGGGATGAGCACACCGGAAATCATCCTCCGTATGAAGAGAGAACGATCATGTTTTTCATGAATGATGCGATTGGCACATTAATAACCACTGATCACGTTAACACCGGGTCATTGATGGGAGATGCGCTAAACTGACGAGGCATCAGTGAGCCTACTGATTGTTCTCTTTTGAGGCAAAGTATACTTTGTACGACGTCATGACGACATGCTTTTTGACCCAACCAATACAATTTTATTGACATTTATAGAAAAAAAAAAATTTTATAAAAAGGAAAATGGAAATGTCCGTTAACAGTCTAAAACGAGTCGGAATATTTTGAAAGCTTTATCCAAGTATATGAATTGATGAAATAAACATTTGGTGTGTATTTCAAGTGTCAGCAGTAATTGGTTTTTGAACTACAACAAAAGAAGAAAATCGCTAGAAGAGAAATCGAGTGAATATCGTGTTGTAAAAATATCAACTTCAAACGCATTAAAATTTAATTTGACTTTCCGGTAGAAATTTTTTTGATAAAGGTAGACAAACTTGTAAGAAATCTTGTATTAAATTTTTAAATCTTAGATATAAATAGAATTTTTTTATGAATTTAACTAAATATAATTTGCTAATTTTCATGATTTTAACGAATTTTGTCAAAATTTTAAGTTTAAACTTATAAAAAAATTACTGTGGATTTAAGCTCAATTTTTTTTTAATTTCCATTAACAATAGCTTACAAGGAACTTTGTATTACATTATCAAGGAGCGAAAATTTCATTTGCTAATAAATAGTCCAACACAAATTAAAATATTTTGAAAATTGGATGGCGTATAGAAAATGCTTACACAAATATTCAGTGAAAATTTCATGTATATTTATGGTAATTTTTGTTAAAGTTACACTAAAAACTAAAATCAGTTTTTTCAAAAACTGGTACCGAGTAGAAATTCCCGCTTTTCCTTAAATTTTTGTTTGTTTTTCCTTTTGCTTTTGAAAACTATTGGGAATTGTAATTTTGACCTAGCGATTGCACCAACTAAATTCATTTTCCTACCAGAAAAGTTACTATTGAAGAACATCGAAGCACTTTTACTACAAGAAACAGTGATGACGGACACAAAAAAAAAAATTAAATAAAAAACACACATCATTGTAAAATCAATATATTCATCGCTTCGGATCAGAATCTAAAATATTAAATTGGGCAATGGTGTTTTCAGTTTTCACATAGGAATAAGTCAACAGAAAAAGTCAACTGTCTTGTCGACAAAAAAATTAAATATTTATTTCGAATTTTAAGAGTGATGCGCTTACCAATATATTTAATATGTAAACGTAGTCATGAGAATGAGACCGGTTCACATATTCAACAAAACAACGAAATAAAAAACTGAGTAAATTTTAATTTAAAAAAATCTAAATTAATGACTACATACAGTTATATACATAATTGTAAAATATTATTTTGTTTAAAGACTATAGTAACCTGTCAGTTAATTTAACTTACTTCAACTGTTCAAGGTATTAAAAGTATATTATTGAACTACAAAACTAGATTGCGCAAGAACTTTTCATGAACGTTTAATCATGAATCGTCCCAAAGTCGTGATCTAGCTCTAGTCTACAAGTTACAGTTGTCAGCTGCCAATTAAAAAACTATTACAATTATTATATCAATTTTTTAGGTCATATTTAATATTGACTTTTTCACGGTATTTTACATTTTCATTTAACTGTTCAGGGTAGATAAAAGAATATTTTCGAACTACAAAACTAGATTGCGCTAGGTGGCATTAGAAAGGCACAAGAACTTTTCATGGACATCTAATCATGAATTGTCCATTTGTCCCCCAGCCGTGGTCTAGTCTACAAGTTACAGTTGTCAGCTGCGGGCTGTGTAATCTTACCATATAATATACCTAATATGATTGTAGAAGTGTAGTCCTGCAGATGGCAGACACAAATTCCAACAATGTCATGACTCATGACTATTTTAAGTTTTTACGATCGAATTGAACATTACAAAGAAAAATTTAAAAATGTAAAATAATTTGACATATGCCTATAATTTTTAATTGTAAAGCAATAGAAATAAATTTTAATCAGACTTATTTTGGGTTAGTAAGATATTATGAGTTTTCCGACTCTAACAGCAGAAATCGGGGTGTCTCGGAACGGCCTGTCAAAATGTCATAATATTAACCTACAACGTTTCAATAATATTGGGTTGAGAAAAGAAACAGGTTGAAGGTTAAACTCGACAACGCGTGCATTTATTCAACCGCGCTGTAACATCGGCGCGCGGCGCGAATCGAATACGATGTATAAAATATCCAACCTAAGCGGTTAGTTAAGAAAATTCGGCAACGTTGCGCCGCTCGATCGTTATGACGAGGGGGATAGACCGGTATACGTGGCGGCTGCAGCCGGCTGCCTTTCACCGCCCTCCAATAGCGGAGGTGAAGGGCAAGAATACGATGAACCGTGCACGCACGCGGCCGAAACGTCGTCGTTGTTAGCCCGCGTACGGTAGCGGAGGGAGTGGCGGCGGCGGCTGTGTTCTCTCGTAATACAATTTTACAATATTATTGCAGTGTACAACACATGCAAGCTATATTATAAAATTGTACATGATACTAAAATAATATAACGAGTAGAGACGACGGCGAGGAACGTAATGTGTTCACGTGTTTATCGTAATCGCAAAGGTCAAATTTACGATAACACCGACTGACATCATATTATTACCCGCATTATAATATAAGAATATTTTAATATTTATGATACAATATGAACGACCAAACAAATATTCATCACTTGTCGTCGCAGACAAAATACGTTACGGAAACAAGTCATTATTTCGATATTACTTACAGACGACGTCGTATTATTAACATGAATATAGTGATAATATTGTCATTGCGATATGAAAAACCGACGTTTCATCGATTGGTCGTTTCCGTTTATGCATTATTTTTAATACATTTTAAACGATAACGAATTGTTGAGATCAGCCATGAAACTTAGGCTCTGTGTTACCTTAGTGTTGTAACAACGCGAAACATATAACTTATCGCTGACATTAAAAAAATTTATTAATTAATGTCAAATTTTAAATTATACAAAAAGTAGAAGTTAAATTAACAAACTATGATCAATAACACAAAATGAATAAACAGTTTTTACTTCAATACCTAGATAATGAACAATAATAAAATATTTCTCCAAAAATCCCGAAGCAAATATTAATTATTTTAATATGTATATTTAAAATTTATAATCCAGATGTCAGCAGTTAAATAGGTACTAGACAGAACAAAATATAGTTGAACTATTTCAGAATTAATTTGAACGACATAAGATTATAAATTTGCCCAACTATAACTGGTTTGGTAGTAGATTTAAGAAGTAAATCTTTATGTTTGCATGTAACTATTTAAACATCTAAAAGCATGAAAAGACAATTAAGGTGTTGTAAATGACCCCGTCTG